GAGGCAATTGTTACTCCCCTGTACAAAAAGGGGCAGAAGGATAAACCCAGGAACTACAGGCCAGTCAGGCTAACGTCAGTATGGGGAAGCTTCTAGAGACTATAATCTGGGACAAAATAAATTTTCACTTAGAAAAATATGGGTTCGTAAACGACAGCCAACATGGAATTGTTAAAGGCAAATCGTGTCTAACAAACCTGATAGAGTTTTTTGATGAAGTAAAAGAGAGGGTGGATGAAGGTGGTGCAGTTGATGTAGATTTTCAAAAGGGATTTGCCATATAAGAGACTTGCAAGCAAAATAGAAACCCACGGTATTAAAAGGACAGTGGCAGCATGGATACAGAACTGGCTGGGAGACAGAAAACAGAGCGGTGGCGAATGGATGTTTTTCTGACTGGAGGGAAGTGTGCAGTGGTGTCCCCCAGGGATCAGTTTTGGGATCACTGCTGTTTTTGATCTATATAAATGACCTGGACTTGGGTATAATGAGTATAATTTCCAAGTTTGCAGATGATACTAAGCTAGGAAAAGTAGTAAACAGTGAGGAGAATAGTAGCAGAGTGCAAAAGAACATAGACAGACTGGTAACATGGGCAGACATGTGGCAGATGAAGTTTAATGTGGAGACTTGCAAAATGATGCATTTTGAGAGGAAGAATGAGGAGAGCAATATAAGCCAGATAGAAGAATCTTGAAGGAGGTGAAGGAACAGAGAGACCTGGATCTTTGAAGGTGACAGGATGGGTAGGTAAAGCTGTTAAAAAAGCATATGGGATAATAGGCTTTATAAACAGGGCGCTAGAATACAAAAGTCAGGAAGTACACACCTTCGAACCCGTTTCCCCACGCTCTGTCACCAACCTCATCCTGTCCTTGAAACCCCACCTGCTCCCTTGACCCCATTCCCACTCCACTCCTTATCTCTCAGCTCCACCTCCTTGCTCCACTTCTCCAGACATCATCAACCTGTCCCTCTCCTCTGGCTCTGTTCCCATTCCCCTAAAAACTGCCACCATCACTCCCACTTTGAAAAAACCCTCCCTTGATGCATCGCAGCTACCAAGCTACCGGCCCATCTCCAACCCCCCCTTCCTGTCCAAGGTCCTTGAAAGAGTCGTCGCCTCCCAGCTGCGCTCTTTCCTCTCCATCCATTCATTATTCGAACCCTTCCAGCCGGGTTTCCGTGCTGCCCATAGCACAGAAACTGCCCCGGTCAAGGTCACTAATGACATCTTGACCATCTGCGACCAGGGCTCCCTCTGCCTCCTCGACCTATCGGCCACATTCGATACGGTCGATCACGCTATCCTCCTCTTCCGCTTGTCCTCCCACCTCAACCTTCAAGGCCCTGTCCTTGAGTGGTTTAGGTTGTACCTCTCCCACCGTCTTCATTTTGTTTCCACAAACGGCGTTTCCTCCAGCCCCCGCACTGTCTCGTGCGGTGTCCCTCAGGGCTTTGTCCTCGGTCCCCTCCTCTTCACCCTCTATATGCTCCCCCTCGGTGACATCATCCGCACACTTGGGGTTAACTTCCACATGTATGCAGATGACACCCAAGTCTACCTTTCATCCTCTACCTCAACTCCACGACCCCCGATGTCCTGACAGCTGCCTGTCTGACATCGAGTCCTGGATGAAAGACAACTTTCTTCAGCTCAACGTGTGCAAAACTGAGGCCCTCCTGATTGGCTCACGTCAGCGCCTCCGCACAGCATCAGCATCCATCAGCATCCAAGGCTGCACTCTCCACCTCTCAAAGCCAGTCACGAACCTCGGGGTTCTGTTCGACCCTGAGCTGTCCTTTCTTCCTCATATCCGCGCCACAACTGGCACCGTCTTCCACCACCTCCGGAACATCGCCAGACTACGGCACTACCTCACCCCTCACGCAGCTGAAACTCTGGTCTACGCCTTTATCACCTCAAGGCTGGACTATGGGAACTCTCTCCTCGTCGGCCTTCTCGGCCCTCCCTCCACACTGCAGGTCATTCAGAACTCTGCAGCTCGTGTACTGTCCCGCACCAGGCTTCGGGACTACATCACTCCCACCCTCGCTCCCCTCCACTGGCTCCCCATCCCCCAGAGGATCGAATTCAAGATACTCATCCTCACCTACGAGGCCATTCACGGCCTTGCTCCTTCCTACCTCTCCAACCCCCATGTACCTGCCTGTACCCTCCGTTCCTCTGGTCTGCTCCACATCCCCCGCCCCAACCGCCCTACCATCGGTGGCTGGGCCTTCAGCCTCTCAGCCCCTAGGCTCTGGAACTCCATCCCCCAGTGCCTTCGTCGCCTCCTCCCTTTCCGCCTTCAAGGCCGGTCTCAAGAACCTTTCTCTTCAACCGTGCCTTCAGCTCCCCTCTCGACTCTCTACCCCCTCCTCACTCCCTCCCTTCCCTCCCCTCACCCTGACCATTTCCCCCCTGCTCGGGTTCCGACTCAATTGTCCAGTCCTCCCGACGTGAAAGGCACTCTATAAGTGAAATCTTGTTGTTGTAGTTCAGATCTGGAATGCATTGCCTGAAAGGGTGGTGGAAGACGATTCAATAACTTAACAGCAACAACAAAATTATATTCGTATAGCCCCTTTCACGTTGGGAGGACATCCATTTAAGAGAGAAGTAGATAATTAGTTGGGGAGGACAAGTTTGCAGGGCTATGGGGAGAGAGCGAGGGAGTGGGATTGAATTGGATAGTTCTTTTCAAAGAGCCGGCACGGACACGATGGGCCAAATGACCTCCTTCTGTGCTGTATAATTCTATGATTCTAAGATTCACTGGGCCTCATTTTGGTATGTGTTTTGTGACAATTTTCAACAAGTTTGTTCCACCAAGCTGTTACAGACATGTGCATTACAGCAGCAGGTGAGTTATTCATTAGCAGTTTAAATAGATTTTTCAGGAACATAGGCTTAACATTTTAAAAATATTCATTTAAATGTCTTAAATATCTTTAAGGTAATGGGAAAACTTAAGTTTCAATACTTGATGTCATTTTCCAAGTATGCTGCCTATATGGAATGGAAGAAATAGAGTTCAAAGTTCAATTAGTTAATGACCATTGATCATTTTCCTGATATCTTAAGAGTTTATTTAATGAGCTGAGCCATACTGTGTTCTGAGACGCTACCATGCGTGGAGGGCACTATATAAGTGCAAGTTGTTGTTGGTGGTGCTGTCCACAAATGCTGCAGGTTCAATCCCTGATCTGTCAGGACTGTGTGAGGGAAAATGAAATTTGTAAGGCTTCCGGATCTGATCATTATCCTTTGGTCCTTTGAAGCACTGAGTGTCTTTTAGGTATGAACAAGATCAGGCTTTTATACATTTTATAGTTTTTCCCATTTAATTGACTCACTGTTTGAATCGAAACAAAACACTTTAAAATATTTTACATCAATCTGCTGTTGTCTCCAGTTTAAATGTAGCAGCGAACAAATTGTTGTGTGGTGACCATTTGCAAACAACACATTTTATGTGGTTGGGAATGTCAGCAGGACACATCAGGAATGCACTGGAGGATGAATGGGAAATGTTACAGTAGAATGGAACTCTATACAACAAATTGACACTTATATATATCACCTTTCACATAAAGATGACATGACAATATTTTGGTTAGTGTGACATCTCCATTATGTATATGTTGCTGTGGTGAATGGCACTGGATAAAACTAAAAATCTACACTATTGTTTATACATTGCTAGTGAGTCTAGCCAGGATCAGTTTTCTTCTTCAAAACTGATGGAACATCTTGCCATAGGACTTAGCTACAAAACCAAAAACTGAGTCGGTGGCAGCACTCATTCATGCAAGCCTTTAAATGGTTTGGTTGAGAAGCTACTGCTCTAATGGGCATGACTAACTCACTCCCCTTAAGGAGTTTGCTTTGAACAATTTAACAGCAAGGAATGTACAAGATGTCCTTTCTGAAACCCCCCAAATAGATGTACATTTGCAATGTTGGTTTTGATAATGTTTTATGAACACAGGGTCCAGTTTCTTTTGAGAAGGGACATTGGTCAACAGCACACACTGCTTTTTCAGCAAATTAAGAATGGGGACAGAAGAGGAGCATTTCAACAGCTGCATATACATCTCTGTGTGTGTATACATATCCATGTATATACACACACACACACACTTAAAACGTCAATAAACAGTTCTGGGGAATGGAACATTTTTTCTCTTTGGATTTACAACTTATTGTTCCTTTCAGACTCTGATTAGTAAAATTATCATTTCCCGTAGATATTCTACCCACTAAGATCATGCATGTTTGAATTAGGAACAATTTTGTGCTGTGAACTTATATCCAAAGGGTACAAGACTGAAAATGTATACTCCCTTAGTATGTTTTATACAAATCACATTTGCTGTTGATCCAGATTGAAACTCAGATTCAAGAGGCAATATTCTACCCCTCAGCATACTAAATGGTTGGTGCAAAATGGGACAATTTCACCCTGATATATTTACTATATCCTTTTCAACAAAATGAAGGGACCCACAAACACCCCCATATCAAGCTCTGCTTCCGCCACTACCTCACAGCAAGCTGCTGAGAGCCTGATCCACATTGCTGGCTTGAGTACGACAACTGCCTGCTCACTGGACTTCCCAACTCTTCCCTCCACGAGCTGCAGATCGTTCAGAACTTTGCAGCTCATGTCCTCTCTCACACCAGATTCGGGGAACCTATCAATCCTGTTCTTGCCCGGCTTCAATCCCCATTCCGCAGAGAATAGAGTACAAAACCCTCGTTCTTACCTACAAAGCTCTTCACGATCTTGCTCCCACCCTACCTCTCCGACCTCATAAACCCATATCAGCCTGTCCGCTCCCTCCACCCAGTGGACACCGGCCTACTTCAGGTCCCCAACACAATATAATAATAGTATATAAATTGAATTTGCACTTATAATCACTGCTGTGTGTTCTACGATTGGCCTTATTAGTGGGAAGTATGAATTAGTGAATTAAAAAACACTCAAAAATGGCATAATATTTTTTATTGGAGTTCACAGAAACTACAAAGCTTTCTATACACATCTGTTAATAAAATCTAACACTAATGTGTAATAGTGCTATAACTGGTAAGTGATGAAAATGCAAGGATTATTATTAAAATTAGTTTGCTAATACATGAAACCATAATTATCATTTGATAACTCAAATTTCAAAATTACAGTATTAATATAATTTAAAGTACTTTGGTCAAACAGTGACATTACTACTGAAACAAAACCATTTTCCAACCATCAAATGCAACCATAATGGCTTAATACTATATTAAAGGCATTTTCAAAATTTACATATCCAAATGCAAAACAACCATTGAGCTACTGGGATTAGTTTTTTTTAAAGATTTTTCCAAACTTTACACTGCAGCATCCTATTATGATTTGGTACATTCAGGGAGCACATTGCTCATTACCATTTTGCAAAACATTACAATAATGGAGTAAATGTTTAATAGTGCAAATACAGTGAAATCAAGAATTCAACCCTACTTTAATCCTAAAAAGTGACTGAGGAAATGTACGTTCAACAGAGTGATTTGAGATACTAACACTCAGTTACTAGCTCAGATATTTGATCTGGATTGCATTATTCTATATAAAGAATTAAGATGCAAATTCACAAATACTTGCCATATCTGTCACACTTGTGGCAACTGATCAGGCCCATTAATGATTTAAAGACAGACAGATAAATCATGAAAATCGCTCATTTGCACTATATTGTATTAAGACTCAAATCTTCTACAAGGCGAGTTTTAAAGTTACAATTAGCTCATTAAAATAAGCATGCGCTGATTACTATTGGATGGAATAACAACCTTCACAAAACTCGGATACATGACTTTATGAGATGTATATAGAATTATAAATGTGGAATGTTTAAAAAAAAATTGCACACATCAAAGGACAAAGAACCCAGCACACAGTGAACAAGATATTTCCAATTCAAAGCCACAGAAAATTCCATATTGGTTTTCCTGAAGTTTAGCAGAAAATAGTTCAGTAGATTTTACTGTTCAATGATGACATGGCACCAAAGTTTAATAAAATGTAATGACTTGAAATAGTGAATTATAAAAAAAAGTCATATGGACTACAGTAGCAGACATGTCGCATCAAAAGGTGGTGCACTCAGTTAGACTAATACTTTATTACTTATTTGAAGTAATTTGAAGCCCAGTGAGGCAGAGATATTTATTGAATTGAAGCAACTAGGACAGCCTCATTTCCACTGGGATCTTGTGCAAGAATGCTGGGTGGGGGGATTGGGAGAAGCTTGGCTGGAAAGCCAGGGGTGCCCTTTACTCCATAATAAGCGAATCATTAGTGTTCTGTTTTCATTGGAATTGATAATACTCTTAACCCTCAACCTTCAGAGTTAAACGCACTATCAGTATACAAATTTGAATTGCATTAGACATGTGTTTGAGAAAGAAATTTTTTTTTCAGGGATTTCCATTACTACTAAACTTCAAAGAACAGCAAAAGAAGTTTATAAATATTAATTTAGCTAAAAGTGCTGGTATATAAAATCCCAAATTGTACCAGGAAAAATGCAAGTGTACTCCCCTGAAAGGTAGATCCTTTCATTGAACAGTCACAGTGAACATCAACCCTTAAAGAGCTCGTCATGGCATTTCTTTCTCGCTAACCTAATCTTGTGTTTAATTCGTACACTGCAACAACTGCTGCACAAGCACTTGACATTTAATAATACATGAACACATGGAATGGAAATAAAATAATTTACCTCACCTAGTTCTCCCAATAATGAATTCAATCCCACTCATCTAAACCACTGCAACAATCCTCTTTCTCTAAATTCTCATATGTATCTGCTTAGAAAGTTAGAATTCTATTTACATAAATTTCAGGAACATTTCTTCCTTCCCACGTGACCTCCCCTCCACAGACAATACTGCAGTACTGAGAATAAAATCAAGTTCAATTGCTAGTAATCTGATCTTGAATTTGAGATTAATTTAAATTTGCAAAAAAAACAATTCTGACGAATCAACAATTTTCTGAAATATTTTATGAACTGAGACTTCCAAATTTGTCTATGTAACTGATTTAGGCCAATTTAGTCTCATTGTCAAAACACAAGGTCTCATTACTTTAAGTAGGAGTTACTTCACTTGAAACTTTTTGTGGAAAATAAAACATGATAAAATTTGAGGAAATTCAAAAACTACCTGAGTAATTGGCAATATCCCCAAACATTAATATCAGGCATATGCAACATTTGTCCTACTAGTATCTAGTTGAAGTGTGCAATCCAGAAGTAGTTATATTGTAAGGATATGGGAAAATGTATATAGGTAATTGATATTACTGTATGTTGAAAAATTCTAATATTTGGGGAAGAAAATTCAGATGTTACCCAATGTTTCCTATAGTTTTTCAGGGACCAAGCTTCCTGATCCTGAAAAGATAATGGACAAATCAAGTATTGGATGAATTGTACCTCCAGCCTAAATGGGTAAATGTATGGTCTATTAATACCAAGCACTACTGCTGCTGAAAATAGGTTTTGTAGAAAATAATGAGAATTTCAGTCTATTTGGCCTGGGTCAAGATGCAAGGAGCTAGACAGTGGATTTATACTATTGCTGAAATTCGTATGGAAGAGGACTTGTGGAAGCTTCTCACTGTTCATCAACAAACAATTTGCAACAGTTTTGATATCCATAAGGATCGATTCTGCAGATCCTTTCAGCATCTCATTTGAATACTCCTTTGGGCTGCTTTCGGCTACAAAACTTATGAAAGCTCATTAGGAAATTTAGTTACAAGGAATTCACATTACAGATACAAAATATTCATCCCACAAATATGCAGTATGCTTTTTGCACAACCAGTGAGGGGAAAAGTGCACTAAATGTTTTTTTAAGGGCTATTTACAATATTTTCCTTACTCGTGGAAGGACGACAGACGAGACATGCACAAAAGTGAAATGTGGGAAATAGTCAAGTGTTTTACAGGATAGAATCTAGAAGACAAGCCAGTGTACCAAACCAGAGAATATTTACTAATCACCTTACCTCAGGAATGCATGAAATTACAATGTACAAGTGTTTTTCGCACTGAATAGGCACCATGTTCAATACATACAATACACCATCTGTCATTGAATGCTTCATAGCATAGGGAATTTGGTTCAGCTTTTTTTGTAATATCAAATTTACACATACTCACACATACACAATTATCTCTTGCAGATTAGTAACGACATGGAAAGGTCTATACACTGTTTGGAAGTTTTACATTTGCTGCATTCCTCCATCATTCCAAACTTTCACACTGTTGATATTCTCACCACTATTTAATCACCTCAACCTTCTGTAAGCCCATGATCCCTTGAACAGAAGACACTGAAACCATGTTCAAAGTCATTGTTCAGAAGCTGCAGAACACAAAAGTCTAGCAATGAATGGCATTAGCAGATTATATATTTGGTACATAATGGAACAAGGTTAAACATTTTTCCTGGCTATATCAAACAAGGTCGAGTATAATCCATCTGAATGATGCTGAAAGAAAGCAAAACAATTCAAGTTTCAAGGAATGACCCATTTCAACACTATTTTGTCCAACACTGTTAAAATAGCAATGTTTGACAAACAACAGAAAATAAATTTAGTGATATGTAAAACCCACTAGATTGATTTTGGGTAAAGTGTAGCTGAATAGACAATATTCCCTCCACCGCTCAAAAGGGTGAGATTCTGCCTTCCTGCTTGAACATTCAATTTATTGCTACCAGATAATGTTGGTAATACTGTATTCATTATTGGCAATGACTTTTTTTAAAACTTTGAAAGAATGAATACACTTAAAAACCTAGAACTTGTATTTTATCTGCCTAGATTAATACTTTAAATACTTTGTTCCACTTCTATTCTCCCAGTCTTCCCACCCAAATATTTTCAACCCAATGCTCTACTGTATGTTCAGACAGTGAAATTTCACCATTTGATTTTATTGAACCTGCTTCCTCTTTGATGGTGGAATCAGGTGGTGTGGAAGATCACTTGGCAGTTCATGGCCTTCCAGCTTGACCTTAATTAGGTGATTAGCTAATGCAAACTCTTCATCATCCAACATCCCATCCTTGTCAATGTCTGCCAGCTTCCAAATCTTTCCAAGAACAGTGTTTGGCAGCTTTGACTTCACCATCTCCCTCTTCGCATTTGCACCAGTGACTTTGCCATTGACAGGTGAAAGGGTGTAAAAAATCTCATCGTAACTTGGTTTATCGCGGATTACAACCCACTCTACATCATCAATGCCCTCACCAGCTCCTTCGCCATAACCATGTCCAAATGGGCCATTCATTGTGCCTTCAAAGGCTCCTCCCTTCACAATCTGATTTGGCCTTGAAACTTCCTCCTGACGTACGAGGACCATAAGATGAGCAATGTCATTAGTTAACATGTCGTCTACAGACTCCAGAAGTTTACCCTTTAGTGGCTGAAACTTGGCAAAATCTTGAGCTTGCAATTGATCCTGTAACAATATAAAGTACACCTCATTAATAATAATTTGATAAAGTACCTTAGCACGAGACATCTCAAAGCGCTTCACAGAATAGTGTAAAATGAATTGACTGTATATTTTGTGGGCAAAACATGGCAGCACAATAGTGTCCCACAAACAGTTGTGGATTGAGTGACCAAATTATTTTAAAAAAGGGATTATTACCCCCAGAAAAGCGATCCTCCAATTGACTAACAACCAGATTCCTACTTACTGTTAGGCAAACAGAGCCATGTGGAGAAAGGAAACTTGCCTAACGTTTCACCCTGCCCAGGCATCAAACCTAACTCCTCTTGCTTGTGAGCCTAGTGTTCTAAACACTAAGCTCCACAGATATTTCAGGGCTGGTTTAACAAGTAGGAAACAAGGGCAGAGAAATACATTTGGATACCACAGCATCAGCAATAATACTATTAAACAACTTACAAATTCAAGAACATGAAAACAGTTCATGTAAACTTGCCTGCATTTTTTTAATGTTAGGAAAGTCTCCTGGGGAGATTTGATGCTCCCGTTCAATCCTGACATAAATCTCCCCAAGACTGTTGATCAATTCTTTCTTTTTATTGTCTTTACCAAATACAGCTGGCATCTCTTTTCTTAATGCACTGATAATATAGGCATGGACCTGGAGAAAGAAAATAATGTTAATAGCAACTGAAACAAGAATCCAAATTGTTCATGAATAACTTTATATTCTTCAGTTTGATGACAAAACTTTTCCCACTTTCGCATTTTGTTGCTGGAGTTTTGGGTACATTACCATAGTAAAATAGAAACTTTATATTGAAGCCATATTGTACCAAAACTGGGACCATCTGGTGATATCACTGGGTGAAAAGCAATAAGGTTTCTCAAAAGAAGTGGATGCACCAAATGCCGCAGTATTGGAGGAGAGGGTAGAGGAAATGGATAGGATAAGTATAAACAGAGAGGAAGTACTGAAAAGGTTGACTGGGCTGAAGGTAGATAAGTCGCCCAGTCCGGAGGGTACTATGGGAGGCACAGGTACAAATAGCGGAGGCTTTGACTACAATTTTTCAATCTTCGTTGGACATAGGAGTGGTGCCAGAGGACTGGAGAGTGGCCAATGTGACTCCCCTGTACAAAAAGGCACAGAAGGACAAACCTGGGAACTACAGGCCAGTCAGCCTAACATCAGTAGTGGGAAACTCCTGGAGACTATAATCCGGGACAGAATAAATCTTCACTTAGAAAGAATATGGGTTAATTAGGGACAATCCAACATGGATTTGTTAAAGGCAAATCTTGTCTAACAAATCTAATAGAAATTTTCGATGAGGTAACGGAGGGTGGATAAAGGTAGTGTAGTTGATGTAGTTTATATGGACTTTCAAAAGGCATTTGACAAAGTGCCACATAAAAGACTCGTAAGAAAGATAGAAGCCCATGGTATAAAAGGGACAGTGGCAGTATGGATCCAGAACTGGCTGGGAGACAGAAAGCAGAGAGTTGTGGTGAACGGCTGCTTTTCTGACTGCAGGGAAATGTACAGTGGTGCCCCCCAGGGATCGGTATTAGGACCACTGCTCTTCTTAATATACATAAATGATCTGGACTTGGGTATAGCAAGTACCATTTCCAAGTTTGCGGACGACACAAAGTTAGGTCGGGTAGTAAACAGTGAGAAGGATAGCAGCCAACTGCAGGAAGACATAGAGAGAATGGTAAAATGGACGACACATGGCAGATGAGTTTCAATGTGGAGAAATGCGAGTTAATGCATTTTGGAAGAAAGAATGAGGGGAGGCAATATAGGCCGGTAATACAATCTTATGGGGGGCAAAAGAACAGAGAGACCTGGGGGTGCAGGTAAATGAATTCTTGAAGGTGGCAGGACAGGTAGATAAGGCTGTAAAAAGGGCATATGGGATACTAGGCTTTATAAACAGGGGCATAGAGTACAAGAGTCAGGAGGTTATGATTAACCTATATAAAACACTGGTTAGGCCTCAGTTAGAATACTGCGCCCAGTTCTGGGCACCACACTATAGGAAGGATGTTAAGGCACTGGAAAGGGTGCAGAGGATGGTACCAGGAATGAGGGACCTTGATTATGAGGAAAGGCTAGAGAGGCGAGGATTATTCTCATTGGAGCAGAAAAGGTTACGAGGAGACCTAATAGAGGTCTTCAAAATCATGTGGAGTCCTGTAGCTCAGTGGTTAGAGCACTCGCTTTGCAAGCAAGAGACCCGAGTTCAATTCCAGGCACAGGGCGAAACCATGGGCAAGTTTCCTTACTCCACACACCTAATAATAATCCCTCCAAAACCAAAAACAATAATAAATTGGTCATTTTCAATCTACGACTGTTTGTGGGACATTGTGTGCGCAATTGGCTGCCGCGTTCGCCCACAAATATACAGTCAATTCACTTTACAGTGTGTTCTGTGAAGCGCTTTCGGACGTCCTCCCGACGTGAAAAGCACTATATCAAATGCAAGGATGATTATTATTATTATTATGAGGGGATTTAATAGGTTAGAAAGGGAAAAACTGTTTCCACTGGTGGGTGTGTCGGTGACTCGAGGTCACAGATTTAAAATAGTCTCTAAAAGAAGCAGAGGGGAGGTGAGAAGAAATTTCTTCACGCAGCGAATTGTTTGAATCTGGAATGCATTGCCTGAAAGGGTGGTCGAGACCGATTCGATAACTACTTTTAAAAACGCGGTGGACGGGTATTTGAGGAGGACGGGTTTGCAGGTTATGGGGAAAGGGCTGGGGAGTGGGATTCACATTACATTGCTCTTTTCAAAGAGGCGGCACAGACTCAATGGGCCGAATGGGCTCTTTTTTGTGCTGTACGATTCTATGAATTTCTCTTGTGTAACTGGCCTTCCCAAAATTTTAATAAAAATACTTTGCAACATAAGTGAGTTTATAGAGAGTGAGACAATGACAGGAAGAAGTCTCAAATTGGTTGAAATAATATGCCGTAAAGGGTAACGACCATTGTGTAAAACTACTTAAAAGAAAAACTAAATGGAATAATTTTAATATTTTGAAGATCCCAAACCATTTGTTATAGTCAATTCACTTTACAGTATATTCTGTGAAGCGCTTTGGGACATAAAGAAGACATGAAAAGCGCTATATCAAATGCAAGCATCATTATTATTATTATAGTCCCAACTCATTTTACATCTGTTATTCTGGAGACTTGGGAGTAAATTTTAAGAAAACAATTCAGTTTTTCATAAAGTGGTGCTTTTATTGATTTAAAAAGCATAATTTGCATTTTGTTCTTTAAACAAATGAAACCTAAAAACATTAGAAAGTGGGGTACCTGATACAAGATTAAAAATTGTCACATGTACTTCATGGATAGAATAGGAATTCTGACAAATTCAGTGATTTAGATGTTTGTTGACTTGTGTCACTGCGTGACATGACAATAAATTATAGCAACAATGAATGGGTGCTGCACCACATTCCCAAATCAGTTGAATTCAGATTCCAGTAAGTGATGCTTGGACTGATCTGGTCAGGCCAGATCAATCATATTGTGTACAGTTCTAGTGTAGATTGAAGGAGCTGCCCAGGCCTGAGAGTCAAATAGAGCACCCAAGCTGACCCACACTACTAGAGGGATGAGCTAGGATGAGAAACTAACAGTCGCTGATACAACAATCTATTGTGTGGAAAGGTCAGGTACATGAATAAAATTCCTCATCGTTGCCTTGAGGGAATTGGAAACAGCAGCCATCTGCTGAAAAACAGGTTTTTAATATTCCCATTGTTCCATTTTACTAAAATTCAAAGAAAACAAGTTTCTGCAACCTGCCACTTGAAAGCTTCAAAAGATTATTCCAAGAGCAATTTAACAGCAAGCCACTGCATGCACTGGCAACAGAACTGAAACTCCTGGAAATGGCTCAATGCCCAATGATTCACTAGAAATTCCTGTAAACATTTTAAGCAGGCCATCTTCAAATAAGTCTTGGAACCTCAGGGTGAAATTTCTCATGTAGCTAAGTGTGGTGATTGACAATATTCATCATGAGACTTCCAAATTATGTGCTTATACGTAGTCAAAAGCATTACACTTAGCAGCAAGAGGAATTTTTCCACTCAAGACATCAACATTCATTTTGGCAACATGGGCAGAACAGGGAAGGTAATGCACAATGCATTAACACTTTGCATCTTTGTTAGAATATCGAGAGGTTCAGATGCTGAAGACCATTTGATTTTATCCTTTCAGTAATGATCTTAATATCTTCCCATAATGTTCTTTGTAAAGAGCACTACCTGACATCTATCCTACACAAGAAATTGTTCCCTTTATCGCACTGCTTTGTTTGAATATATTTATATATATAACAAAAATTACATTTGTAAAGCGCCTTTTTAGTCTCTTTTAGAGACTATTTTAAATCTGTGACCTCGAGTCACCGACACACCCACCAGTGGAAACAGTTTCCCTTTCTAACCTATCAAATCCCCTCATAATAATAATAATCCTTGCATTTGATATAGTGCTTTTCACATCGGGAGGACATCCCACGACACTGAACAGTCAGGGATCAGGACTCAAGCGTGGGGGGCAGGGTTGGGATGAGGCAGGGAAGAGAGATAGGAGGGCGGCCGAAGGCATGGTCGAATAGGAGGGATTAAGGCAAAGGGATTGTGGGATAGAGTTCCAAAGGGTGGGGGCAGAGAGACTGAAAGACCGGCCGCTGATGGTAGGGCAGGTCAGAGGTAAGAGGGGGCAAGGCTGCGGAGGGGCTTGAAAGTGAGGAGGATTTTGAACTCTATCCTCTGAGGAATAGGGAGCCAGTGGAGCCAGACGAGGGTGGGGGTGATGGGGTCACAGAGCCTAGTGAGGGAGAGGACACAAGCTGCAGAGTTCTGGATGATCTTGTGGAGGGAAGAGTTGGGGAAGCCAATAAGGAGAGAATTTCCATAGTCGAGCCTTGAGGTGACGAATGTGTGGATGAGGATTTTGGCGGCCTGAGGGGTGAGGCAGTGGCGGAGTCGGGCAATGTTGCGGAGATGGGGGAAGGCAGAGCAGGTCATGGCACGGAAATGGGGGAAGAAAGGACAGTTGAGGGTCGAACAAGACACCCAGATTCCTGACTGGCTTGGTGAGGTGGAGTGTGCGTCTGTGGATGCCGATGCTGCCAGTGCCTGAGGTGCGGAGGCGCTGGAGCGAGTCAATCGGGAGGCCTCAGTCTTGCTGACATTCAGCTGTAGAAAGTTGGCTCCCATCCAGCACTTGATGTCTGACAGGCAGTCTGTCAGGGCACCAGTCGTCTTGGCATTGAGGGTGGAGGCAGAGAGTTAGATGTCATCAGCGTACATGTGGAAGTTACCCCATGTCTATGGATAATGTCACCAAGAGATTGAAGAGAAGAGGACAAAGAGCCCCAAGGAACACCGCACAAGGCTGTGCGGGGGCCTGGAAGAGAAACTGTTAGCGGAGATAAATTGGTGACAATGTGACAGATTCAAGACAGAACCTTGAAGGTTGAGGTGAGAGGAGAGACGGTGGAGGAAGATGGAGTGGTCAATAGTATCGAACGCAGCATAGACGTTGAGGAGGCAGAGGGAGCCCTGGTCACAGATGGACAGGATGTCATTTGTCACCTTGACCAGAGCAGTTTCCATGCTGTGTGGAGCACAGAAACCTGATTCGAGGGGCTTGTGAAGGGAGTGATAGGAAGGAGCAAAGCAACGACCCTGATAATTAAAGTTCCTACCTCAAATGTCTTTTGAGGCTGAAGACCCTATCTAGTCAACCTTCACAGCTCACATCTCTTAACTCCAAGGATTAGCTTAGTCTCTTCTTCACTGAATGGTCACTGTTATCTCGGTAGCTGCTTAGGTTACAGCGACTAGAACAGTAATCCTTACAATTGACAGTGCCCTTTAATGTTGGAACATTACACTTAGCAGCAAGAGGAACGGATTCCCTTATGCCATGCTTCATACCCCTTGCCGACTCCACCATGCATAGGTGAGATTTCAGCCTCAGCCACTTCCACGCTCAGGAACTCTTCCCAAATTGTTCAGTCTCACCATGAGAAATTTTAGGCCTCCGGCATTTAATTGGGCTTATGCCTGTTCACAAGATAACTAATAGTTGAGAAAAGTAACACGTGCTTTCTCAAATCATTTGAGGTGGCAGCTAATCATTGTAGTCATATGATGGCAAATTCACAAACCTATATATAAAAACACAAGTTACAATCGAGATTAGCATGCGTCCTTCTGGGCATAGGGGGTGGTATAACTGGTGCAGGCACTATGTCACAGGGAGAGGTGGGGCAGGAGGCCATAGCTCAGACCTCCGGTAGACCAGAAGCCTCTGTGAAGGATATGAGCAACCTCTGCTGAGAACCCACACAGTCACAGGAAGGGTGGGAGGCCTTTGTGACAGGACGAGCTATCCAGTAAGTACTTGCAAGAATTTCTAGAATCCAACAAGTTACGTCTTAAGCAGAGTCCCTTAATATTTTGCAGGCAAGTGGCCGGGTTATTGACAGCACGGTGACTTGAGTGATGATGACAAGTTAAACCAGGGTTGAGTTATCAAGAATTTACTGCAAGTCTAAAAATAGGTTGCCACTTTATGTGGTTTTCAGTGGAAAACACTTAACTTCTTTTAAACAGAACATAATTTAGCACCAAATCATTTTGCGATTTTTTGGATTTTTACCAAATTTGACAAAAATCCCCCAAATTGCACAACTGTTACTAAATTGTTTTCTTTTTTAAAAAAAAGTGGCGTGTTCATGTTGAAATGTCTCCAAGTACTAAAAGGCAAGTTAATTTAAAATTATGACGGTTACTGTTAACAATGATTACGATATTACTTCCGTTGTTGTAACAAGATTATAAATAGTTGTAAATTCACAATGTACCAGGAACAGTATTTATTTCAAAGGAAATTACATCTTTGGACATGTGGGAACAATTACATTGGATACGGAATTTCATAAACTAAATTAGTAAACCAGCTGTGTAATATTAAAGGGATTGAGAGACCCATGTATGATTGAAGATTTAGGCACTAAACTATTAAACAGAAGTTGAAATGTGACCTCAAATATTAGTCACAACTGTACTGAGGTGTCAACTTCACACAAGTGCACTCAATTCAAGAAAAAAGGAGCACCATTAACTACTTTTTCAATACAAGGAAGTACAATTTGTGAATAAGTGCTCAATAATTAAGAGAATCATTGCGGGGGAGAGGGTGGTCATAAGACTATTTGCAGGGCAGGAGAGGCTGGTTACGCAACTTTACATCATCTCTGTTTACACAAGTTTAGTTAGCTGTTAACAAGGTTGCCAAGGTGTTGGGCTCTGGCATTTACATGAAAATTTAAGCAATTTAAATTCTTGAAGATGGCTTTACCCCACTTCTGCAAACTCTTCCAGCCCTATTCTCCAGTCCATACCCTCTGCTCTTCTAAATCTAATTGGTCATTGGCTGATTTTACTTTCCCCTTTGTCATTACATATCTGCTCTATGGAACTCTTCAATATTGCTACTTTTCTATCTTCACCATCAAAACTATTTTCAACCTTGCTTTAGGTATTCTCCCTTCTCAGTACTCCGTATCATATTTGTTAAGTGCTTTGAGATGTTCATGCTATGTGGAAAAGCACGGTGTAACTACAACTTGTTGTATCCAATGACCATCCCCATCTGCCTATATCTGGTAGAACGAGATTAATCTTTATGCTCACCTCTGACTTTCCCACTCTAGCTATTGATAGTCTAGACATTAATAATGGTAGAATAATCAGTTGGGGTAATACCAGAGGGTTACCAGCAAATGTGGGAAAATAACCCAGCAAAAATGAGAAACTCCAGCCAAGGCAGTAAGTATATTATTCAAAACAAACCTTTGCAAGTCGTGCCCTCTTGATTAGGTCATTGAGCTTCCGTAAAGCAGCATTTCGAGGGAGGCTCTGGATATCTTTAAATAAATCTTGTTCTTCTGCCTCAAATAGCTTGCGATTGTCTGGAATCAACAGAGGGTGAGACCAGAACGATCCAATGTACACCCGAATCACTTCAGGTGTGTTGACAATTTTGCCTAAAGACCACATCAGTGCACCATAAACTCGCATCAGTTGCTGGGTCTCAATCTGGTCAGCTTTGTTCAGCACCACACGGATCTTATCTTCATGATTCTTCAATGCCTTGATAACATCAGAAAATTCATCTGAAATGTCCAGCTTATGAGCATCGAACAACAGAATGATACGGTCAACTCTCTCTGCAAACCACTCCAATACTGCTGCAAAGTCATAACCTGAAAATGAAAAATACCTTTAACTTTTTTTTTAAAAAGAGAAACAACCCATAGAACCACTTTCCTTGGAGATGGTAACAGTAGATGTCAAAATCAAAGAAAAATCCGAGTTAAATGCAATATAAATTCTCCACCTTAATCCATTTTGAATTCAGGAATTTGAATTAAGCTGAATTGCATTTTACATGGAGGAAAATAGCCCAATGGAATTCAAATTTACTTCAATTATATTAAATGCACACAAAACTCTTTAGATTTTGCTAATTTTAAAGTCTCAATCTATTAAAATAAACTTATCATAAAAACAGAAGATTTGACCTAAACACATTGGATTAATTGAAAACAATTTTACAGATTACAATAAGTCAATATAAATACAAACAATAGCTAAAACATCCATGGCATACAAGATTCAGTAATACTGATCTTCCTACTCGACCTCCAAACTTGGGTTATGGAATTTTTTCATTAAAAATAAACAGAAAAAATACCATTTCTAGAAATCCTATAATAGATCCCAATCCCCCACATAAATCATAAAAATCTGGAAAAATTGCATATGATCATTTTGATTGAGCCAACAATCAAAACAACTGGTAGGTGGGATACAATAGCCAGGCCTATTCTCAGCACAAATGCAGTGTGTGTGTGTGTATATATATATATATATATATATGTATGTGTGTATATATAAATAAATCACACATTACTCATCCAGAATCGATCGATCAATAATCTATTTGTGTTCATCCACTAGTTCAATTCCATGCAACAGAACATTGAGGTCAGTGAGATTTAGGATTTGCAATTATGTGCATGTTTTCAACTTTCTCACTCTGCACTTTATTAAAACCATATCCTTGCTCCCACAAACAGGATATGGGTAGGCATCTACTTTTCCATCCTCAGGATATCCAGGAACATTTTGCAACATGATAAACAGAATCAGCTAGAGTTTGACCCATTGGGATGTCTCAGCAAACAGAATGGATTACGTTCTCCCTGCGCCCCATACGTGGCGTGGAAAAAGTAATCCCTTAATGGAATTTACAATACAGCTCATTCAAACAAACTGCTTTCAAAAGGGATTCCAATGATGAAGTCTTTTTGTCCATTTGAGCACATGCTTTCACAACACCACTCAATCATCGTCCCATTGCAGCATCATCATCCGAGGACACTAAATTCATTGCAAAACAGTTGCAATTTAGGTGTGGCAATGGAATCAACAAAGTCAATCAGAAGGCGTCAATATAAATGAAGGCACTCAGGTACAAAAGCACAATGGACGGTGTATAATTGCCACTAGGGACAGGTGACTGATTTCTGGGCATTTGCCAATTTGACTTCTTACCTTTGCATTTACACTGACAGGTGTCATACTCTCTCCTTGTGGAAAATCAACTTGTCTCCACTTGGTTTCTCTCCTCACAAACTTCAGCGACCAAGAATTTGCAATTGGAGGAGCAAGCAGGCATTAAGCTACATGCTGCCAATGCAAACACACGGTGTTCCACCAATTTCTTTAAACTATTTCAAAATATGGCAACCTATTACCCGACCCAAATGTTTTTGTATCCTGCAAGTGGCCAGTTCTTCTGCCTGCCCTACCAGAGCAATGGTCAATGCTTACCTACTTCCTCAGCCAGGGCAGTACTCACCTCTGCACTGGTGGTAAACTACACATGTACCATAATTTAAAATTCATTGCACCAGTAAACGTTAATACTTGGCCCAGAGGTATGTTGAGGTATAACTATACAATAATCCTTGCATCATGCTGTTGAAACATCTCAAAGCACTTTACAGTATTTACTGTTTTTGATTTTGTGGGTGAACTCCAATTTGAACAAAGCAATGTCCCACAAACAGCCATGGAGTGAATGACCAATTTTATTGGGGGATTTGTTGGCCAGGGCACAAGGAGAAACTCGCTTCTCTTTTCGAATAGTGCTGTGGGATCTCTAACGTCCAACTTAACAGGCAGACGGGATTCCAAGTCCAGATGTGGGGCTTGAACCCACAACCTTGAAAATGCTACCACTGCGCTGGGCTGAGACACAAAAAGCATCAAATCAAGCAAGAGTGAAACTAAGTAAGAATGTTCAGTCTTGAACCTTAATCTATACTGAGTAGCAGTCAAATTTAGAATTTTTTTAAATTGTGAAGCAGTTGACAGCTCGAGTTTAGCTTTGTGCAGTGGTAAACAGCACTAGTGGTATTATAACCTTTTAGGTGCAGCACAAGCCAATTAGCAGCAGCTCCAAGTTAAATCTAAAGCAGCAAGATTCTTCAGCTGTGCTGCTTTTCTTTGAAATACCTCCAAATGGACATCTTTGCAACCAGCTGTACCTTTCCTCTTGTTCTAGTTGAGGGAAGATGTACAAGGAAAAGGGAAAAAAGAGGCAGACAACAGACTTGAGGTTTTTTTTTGCCGAGTCCAGTGTTTTGACATTAAAAATGGGCATGTTAGCAATTTATATCCTGGAAAATATTCAGTAAAATTCAATGGCAATGTCAATATTCTGTAATTTATAGCACAACATATTCTGGTTCACTATTAGAGATGACAAGTCTTCCAACAAAATGACTTTTCAGCATTCTAAAAATTTCATTCAAAAAAAATTAGGACTAGAATTTTGCCAACCTCAAAAGATCTGGTACAATGAAATCATAAAACTTGCATTACTAGTTTAATAATTACTGTTTATGATTTAAGTCAGTTTTAAGACTTAATAATCCCATTTTTATTGAGCTATGAAGCCACTTTAAATAAGTGAATTACAATATACGGTTAATTCATTGGTAATAGTAGAACAAATACAAAAAAGTATGAACTAGAGTATGAACATCTTGACTTACCTCTATACATTTTGCAGTATACCTTTAGTGTATTTCTGTCATTTGTTTAAATTTAGATTTTCAATTTTCATTCTCATTCACCTCTCATTCACGACAGACTAGAACTTTAAGAACCCTTAAAATCAAGGCAAGATAAAAGGTAATGGACCGGGATAGAAGTTTTTTATATTCAATCCGGAGTGACATCATAAAAATTTGAGCTGCTGCTCAGAAACAGATTACTTGCTGGTTTTTATTTATTTATGTTCACGGGATGAGGTAACAATGTGAAACCTCTCCCCTTTACAGTATCAGGATTATGTACTCTGGTCAAGTACAACACTGAGAATAAAGATCTCAATGTCCTGCAATATGATTTTTTAATCCTGATCCCCTCAAAAGAGTATTCTCCATTCCACTAGTACAAGGTGACCAAAAAGTTGTGATACCATTACAATATCTAATAAGTCTTAAATAAATGATTGTTTTAAGAAAATAGGGTAGACATCACGGGTTTTTGGTCACCCTGTATAATGAAAACCGTTAACCACGACTCTAAAAACAGTGATTTAATACTAACCTGTGTGAACATATGTGCTGTAGATCCACAACTACTAGAAACAGTTCAAATTACCAAAATTAATTTCACATAATTCCTTTGAAGCCAATGAGAGCTGAACCACTTCCAATGTATATGATTCTCAGATGAGTCAAAAAGTAGCTGGGTTACCATTTTAAATATTAGAATACTCAAGGGAAATAAACCCTAGCAACAGTGTTCTAACAATATTGTAATTCACATCAGTGTAATCTATAAAAACAAGTTGCAATACTATATCTACCTGCTGCTACAAGGTTAAGAAAACACCATTGGGAGATCAGGCCAACTAAATCCTATAGAATCTGATTTTAGAGAACACTGAAACCACAGGAAAGAAGCACAATTAATTTTTTTGTAAATTGAATTGTAAGCAACTCAAATTAGTTTTCCTTAAAGACCTAGTGCCAGATGACATTGAACAAAATAGTTCATTCACTGTCAGTGTGAATTTACATGTGCACTCTAAAAGCAAAATTCTTTGGCATAAAATTCCATGGTTTGATTTCTCTAGATTTAATTAACATGAACATTGAGAAATGATCCAAGTTTACTACAATGCAAGACCAATGGATAAACTTGTGGTACATTAAGATACAATATTTTATATGAGGAATATTTTAATGGAATTTTGCCACAGGGCAATTTTAAAAGTCAGGAAATAGCAAATATTGCATTTTACACGTTAATAACCATTTCAGGCTACAATAGAAGATTTAAAGAATGCAAGTGATTTGAATGGTAATCTAGTTTTATATAGTTCATAAACTCAATTTTTTCAAATTATCTTTGTACATGTGCTTTACATAGGCTTTAATTGAATAAACTATTCTTTTTAAAAATTAGCCAAGGGGTCAATCGTTACCAGTACTTAAGAGTACTTGTGCCAGTGATTACAGTTAAAATACTTGTGGAGGAAAAAAATGGCAAGGCTTCAAGTGCATCGAGTAACTTTCAAAATCTGAACACGGATTATACCTCAACATATTTCCTTAGAAAATTTCTATTCTGGACTTGTGGCACTAAAAATCTGTGCCAAGACATCACACTGAGGTGTCAAAAATCATATGTAGTTAAGAATGCCAAAAATGCTCCCTGAAGTATGGTAACAATTCTAAATACTTCACTACCTTCCTCAAACTCCATTTTGCCTATTTTAATCCTTTTGCACCTGCTCGCAAGCAAGATTAATTTGTGATGACCCAGAGGTTAGCAGGACTACGCCATTAACCAGTCAGCTGTTTTGTTGTACATTAACACAACAGCTTCAGATTCCTTGCTAACCAAGCCATGTGACAGCCTAATTTTTGAGTAGTCAACCAGTAGTCTTCAATCAAATGAAGGCAGGAGAAAGGAACTTGATAAGATATTATTCCATACATTAGATTTTTTTTATTAATTGGGAACAGAGACTGCTCAGGCTTCACCGTGTTCTGCAGATTAAGCTTTTTAAAAATTTATTAAGGAGAGGCATTAGATTTTAGTTATTCTTTTATAAGATAATTCCTTTTGAGGCTCTGGCCTTCTGCATGTCCCTCATGCCCTCTGTTCCACCATTGGTGGCTGTGCTTTCAGCCACTAGTTTCAGCCCCGAAACTCTGCACTCTTCCTCTATCCCCCTCCTTGCCCATCTTCAGGTCGCACCTGAAGACCTTCTTCTTCGACTGTGCCTAAGGTCACCTCCCCAGCGTCATGCTCCGCCACTGTCAAGCACTCTGGGATGCTACCGTGCATGAGGGGCGCTATATAAATGCAAGTTGTTGTTGAGCATGGAAGTTAAACTGGTGTTTGCAATTTAACCATGTTCTTTTGGCTTTTTTTAAAGCAGTAGTGAGGTGGATTTGTGGTAAACACAGGAAGCAAGTGCAGGAAAGGCAGGCTCTGACTAACAGTGACCTGTCACTGAGCCCTCTGGAGGCATAGTCGGCTTCACAGCAGGTACATCTATTTGCCAAAGCCTTAAGCAGCTGGTGCTGAGTAAGCTTGGTACGCGACACTGGATTTAGATATCAAGAACATAAAGGTCACAAAACCAGATGTCCATCAGACAGCTGATGAGGAAACTCTTGAGACTTGAGGAGACATACAGCTGATGGAAGGCATTACCTGGAATCCGAGTTCGTGAACACCCATTTGTATGTCTAGCACTTGGAATCTACTTCAATTAGTTTGCAGCTACTGCTCAAGTTCCACATCTCCAACTGATGGAGATTATCAATTAATGGGAAAGTATGCATGTCCAAGTTATGGGTAGAAGATGGTGGCAATGGTCTCACGGATTTCACGTTGAGCTGTATTGTCCATCAGGAAGTTCCTGGTACCAACCGTTCGCGTATTGAGGACTGAAACCCACATTTGTCAGAGGTGAGATGACCAATCAGTAACTATCCTCCAGGGGATAATGCAGGGTTTCCTTGGAGCTGAACCGGCTCCAAGGTAATGTGTTTGGAACAAAATGTCAGATTCAAGCTAAACCTCTGTGGCGGTCTTGGTAATTCGGTTACTGAGCCAGGTGGGTTTGCAGCGCTCCAGGGCACTGCTGATAACAATACAGCTAGCCTGGCTCATCAGCAGGACTTGCAGCCTGTGAAGGGAGGAGTTGGGGAGGCCGACAAGCAATGAGTTTGCATATTCGAGCCTCGATGTAATGAAAGCATGTATGAGGGCTTCGTTGGCCTGTAATGTGAGACATGGCAGAGCCAGGCAATGTTGTGGAGGTGGGAAGGCAGAGCGGGTCATGGCACAGATGTGGGGTAGAAAGGATAGTTGAGGGTCAAACAAGACCCCAAGTTTCCAGACTGGCTTAGCAAGGTGGAGTGTGCAACCATGGATAGTGATGCCAATCAGGAGAGCCTCAGTTTTGTTTAACTGAAGAAAATTAGCTCTCATCCAGGACTTAATGTCTGACAGACATTCTGTCAGGACAGCAGTGGTCCTGGACTCAAAGGTGGAGGCAGAGAGGTAGTCATCTGCATACATGTGGAAGTTGACCCCATGTCTGCGGATGATGTCACCAAGAGGGAGCATATAGATGTTGAAGAGGGGACGAAGGACAGAGCCCCGAGGAACTCCGCACAAGATAGTCCAGGGGCTAGAGGAGATGAAGTGCAGATGGTGTGAAGGGTACGATCTGAACCAGTCAAGGACAGTGCCGTGGAGGTTGAGGTGAGACGGTAAAGCTTGCTTTCAATGTCAAGCTATGTGGTTTTAGCTGGTTGGACTTCAGCAGTTACCCCAACAGAATTTGGGGTACACAAGTGTTAACTCTTGCCAACCTGAACTAAATACTCTTTGGAATTAGGTAAGCAGGACATGCTCCTCCAGGGAGAGAGTGCACATTCCAATCCAATAAATATCTCTTGCATTTCCATGTGTAGGTGGGATGCATGGAATTCTGGTTTAGATATTCTCAAGCATGGTGATGGGTTTCTTCATATGTCAGATATCCAGCTGACCAAACAAACCTGCTGTTGGTCTACAAGTTACAAGTATAAGTTATTATAGGAAATCTATCAAATATTTTAGAAATGTAATCAGAATACTTGGAAAGTACCACTTAAAAAAAAGTCAGAACTGATTCAGGAAATAAGTCATGTTGAATGTTTAATTCTTAAATTTAACTCTTGGATGTTTAGACCCCTGGAAATCAGATTCTTGAAAATGAGAAAGCCATTTCAACATACAGTAAGCATATGCATAAAGCAATCAGCTACACTATCAGGCAATCCACAGGAGTTTGAAAATCTAATGTGGTGTTACAGGACTCATTGACCCTTTTGTTTCAGGATTTATAGTCACATTTCATTACTTGCATCGGAACAGTTAACATTGGTGCAGTGTCAGTTTCAGATCAGACATTGAACTAGCTGAATGAGCCCAGAAAGAGATTTCATAAAAGGCTCTCTTGATGCTTGGATGGATGGGGGGTGCCGGAGGAGGGAAGAGAATGAGAGCAGACCATTTCTTGTTCCAAGTCAAATGCAGCAGGTTTCATATGGTCTTATGACTGGTCAATATTCCAGTACAGAAACATGCATTTAAAATGCAAAACAACTTATACTGAAATACCCTAGACTAAACTATGTGAAATGATTTCTGCAATAAATTCAGGTTTGGAATTTATTTTGTATATAATATATACAGTATTCTGTTGACAAAACATGCTGGGGCAAAAGAGGAAAAATCTTTACGTTATGCGAGTCAAGATTCTACGATGTGCCTTTTAGGAAACTCCATGTATTCATTTAAATTCAACAGTGCCCACATCTATTGGGAACAGACATTAGCACTGTACTTCAGCATGGTAATGAAAGTCCCCTCAATACACTGATCATTTTACATACTACTTCATATATCAGAGATTGTCATTTAGAAGCAATGAGTCAACATATATAGGAGTTCAGCTGTAATCAATATACTGCAATCAGAAAGAAACTAAAATCTAAGTTGCTATACAAATATAATCTTGTTGTATTGATGAAATCTAAAAAAACACACGTGTACTCAAATGCAATAAGGGTCCATTACAGATGCATATAAAAATGGAGCGAGCCCTTGAAGCTCTATTGTATTGGCACCGATTAAAGATTAATCATAAAATTAATTTATTTTCACCTGTACTCAATACGCAATGTAGAATGGGGCACTTAATAGTTTCTCTGGCCCAGTAGATAAAGGATATTTGGTTTGAAAGAAACAGATTGTTATTTTGGACAAGAGGCTACCATATTTAGGAGAGCTTAATATGCAACATTTCCAGGGAGAATTCTAGTTATGAGAATGTTACAACTATTGCAACATATACACACACGCACACACAAATAGAGTGACTACACTTGACAATAATTGCTTTGAAGTTCATAACAATTTGCTGTGATAGGATGCAATATAGAAATGCAAATCTCCAAAACCTACAGGAAGACATGATGACCATTTCAAACCTATCTATTCACCTTTTCACAAAATGGATTTGATGCACGGCATATTACGTAAAGAAGCACAAGTACAATGACATTGCCATCCTGCAATACATAGATACAAAACTTTGCCCACTTCTGAAGGGAAGCTGATATGTTTATCACAAATTGTATCAATGCAAATGTAAAGCATTGATTTGAACAAGAAACAAACAACAACAAATTACATTTGTAAGTCACCTTTCACAACAAGCAAGGTGCTGGACAGTCGGGGATTTGGACCTGAGCTGGGGGTTGGAGGGTGGGGAGGGTAGGGATAGGAGGGTGGCCGAAGACGCGGTTGAAGAGGAAGGACTCGAGATGTGCCTTGAAGGAGGCAAGGGAGGGAGCGAGACGATGGGACTGTGGGATGGAGTTCCAAATGGTGATAGCAGAGAGGCTGAAGATATTTTAATGATGCTTAAAAATATCTCTGTATGTGCAGATAATGTGCAGTTCTACACGGGATGGCCTGCAGAAACAGTGCTTTATTTTGCTATTACTTGCACATATACTAAAAAAAACAAAAAATTAAAAGTTGCCATTTCATGATCATAGTGACTATATTGCTCCACAAGAATAATTGTATATATTCATTAGTAAGAATGTATGAAACCCCTAATATGGTTTTGCTGGCCTTTGTTGCAAATTTATAGTACTATAAATACTGTAACTAATTTCAAAGATATTATTTTATAGGGCAATGTAAAACCTTACCTCGACTGATGCGTTGTTTCTCTCCAGACAAGATGCCAGGCGTGTCGATGACACTGATGCTTTCCAGCACTGGGTTTGGCACCTGCGCACACATAAACCTAAGAGAAAATGGCAGTTTTATAGTATATAGGATTCTCTCAAACACTCGTACTTTGAAAACAATTCAGAATAATTTTTTTGAGAATTCGAACTGTTGTGAACTGCAGCATATATATATATATATATATATATGTGAAGGCAGTAACTGAATTGTGCTTTTTAACAATAATATTCATTATTTTGCCAGTCAACAACAACTTGCACTTATATAGCGACTTCCATGCAGGGTAGTGTCTCAAAGTGCTCAACAGTGGTGGAGCCTGACTCCGAGCCAGGTGGATGTTGCCGTAAGCACAGTCGAAGAGGAAAGTTTTCAGGCAGGACTAAAAGGGGGGAGAGAGGGGGCAAGGCGGAGGGATTGAGAGAGTGTTCCAGAGTTTTGGGGCGTAGTGGCTGAAAGCACAACCTCCAATGGTGGGGCAAAGGGTGTGAGGTACGAGCAGGAAGCCGGTGCCAGTCGAGCGAAGGTGCCAGGTGGTTGATTGGGGAGTGAGAAGGTCGGACAGGTAGGGAGGTTCCACGGAGTGAATGGATTTCAAAACAAAATATTCCAGGCAACAAAAAACACAATTTACCAAAGATTTTTTTTTAAAACCAATTTGCTTACTTATTTGTATTTCCTTTTGCCCTAGAAATCTAACACTTAAGACTCCTTCCAATGGATAGCTATCCAATCATTTGGACTCTTGATAGCTTTGTATAAAAATCAGTTCATTACCTGAACACCAGAGTCTTTTGGGCAAGTGATATAATATGTGCCCATTTGGTAGACTTCAGTTAGTATCTTAGTCTCAAACAATGACAGCTTGGGACTGTCCTACCCTTGAAGATCCTACCCTACTCAACTGTATAGGAAGTGGACCGCTCAGATTTGGAGCAAAGGCTCTACCACAGTTTCAGAACAGGTTTTCGGGTAATTTGTTCCTCTGCTGTTCTGTGTAGTTTGGATAGGGATAGACAATTTCCAAGTTGATGGATGAATGAATGATCAATTCAACAGCCCCCACTAATCAGTCACTAATAAACTCAATTGCTCTAGGTCTCTCTCTCTCTCTCTCTCTCTCTCAGTACTTTGAATTAGAAGTATGAGAAGTTGTATTTTGATTTTGGAAAAGTGAAGTTCAGCTTTTGGACTCAGTGATCGCTTTCTGCAAGCAGAGAGCAAGTCACAACATGGTCTAGATCATGTGGTGCAATGTTTTGGCATCTTAATATAACACAGGCAGCAGATTAAAATTCATTGAAGCTGAACAGCGCAAAACCAGTTCAGCAGTAACTATACTAAGGTATCACCGTAAACTAATTGGATGAACCTTCACGGGGACAATATAAATAATACTTACATTTGATATAGCGCTTTATCACATCTTCGAGACGTCTCAAAGCGCTTCACAGAGTATACTACCGCCAATTATGCACAGCGGTGTCCTACAAACAGTCGTGGATTGAAGGAACTAATTTATTATTTTTTTGAAGGAATTATTACCCCCAGAAAAGCGATCCGCCAATCAACTAACAACTAGGTTCCTACTTTCTGCTAGGTAAACAGAGGTGTGTGGAGTAAGGAAACTTGCCCAACATTTCGCCCTGCCGGGAATCGAACCCAGATCTCTTGCTTGCGAGATGAGTGCTCTAACCACTGAGCTAAATAGGACCAATCCTTGAATAGATTGGTGGAGCAGGAAATAAATGTACAATATTTACACTTAATTTCACTTCTGGTTCAGTGTATTTTAAAAAAGGAAAAATTTGCTCTGGTGGGAGAATCCAGAAAAAGCAGGCATAATCTTAAAATTAGAGCTAGGCCATTTGGAGTGAAATCAGGTGGCATTTTCCCACCCAACGGGTAATGGATATCTGGAACTCTGGCCAAAAGACTGTGGATGCTGGATCCGTTCAAATTTTCAAGACTGAAATGGATAGATATTTGTTAGGTCAGGGTATCAAGGGATATGGGGCAAGGGCGGGTAATTGGAGTTGAGGTACATGTCAGCCATGATCTAATAGAATGGCAGAACAAGCTTGAGGTGCTGAATTGCCTCTCCTGTTCCTATTATAGCCTGCCTTTTACTCAACGCCATGTTGCTCAGACCATTCTATGGTATTTATCAAAAACAATAAGGATCTAAATAAACAATGGTTGAAATTTACAGAAATTGCAAGTAAACAAGAGTTTTGTTTTTAAATGTTTAGATCTGAATCTCGGCCTCAATAAAGAATCAGTGATATACGGCTCAATTTCACATGACTGATGCATCACCAAACCAGATTTGATTCTTGGATTCTTTCCCAGAAACACTTTGAGCAACTGCATGCAAATGCAATCAATTACAGGAACAGAATATGCCAGGAACTTTTCTGGAATTCTACTCCCCTAGTTTATTAAATCATCAATTGACAGAGATCTGCAAGCTGAAACCTTCACTACATCAGAAAGGTGGGGTGGGGAGATGGGAAAGGGGAGAGAGAATGTGATGATCAGTTTGACATTGGGATAAATTTAACCTCATGAAATGTACAAGAAGCCTGTCTGATGAATACCTCAGTATCATTTTTGTTTCAGTTCTGTCTAGGCTCAAGGGCAGTAGCTACCTCATGTTACTCATTAATAATTTGATTATAGAGAACAGCCTTGAACAAAAAGGATGGGATTTCCCTAGTTTAAATACCAGAATGTTCTGCATTACAACATCAATCAACCAGTCTGTCAGTGGCTTTGAAATGGTTTGAACATCAGGATGACACTGTGGTAAACATGATCCAAACAAATCCTTTAAGGTACAAAAACTACTAGCCAACAATTCGAGTCACAGATTAGTGTTTAACTACAAAAAAAACAAATTTCCTTTGTACATATTTAGCAATTGCTGTGAATTACCAAAAAAAAGTTTTTGGAGGAAGGACAATGGAGCCGATTAATTTTTTTGTGGTAAAGTGACAACCATTCGTGCAGGATAACATTGATATTGCAACACGTCCACAAGAGCATCAGATGGGAAAACTGAATTGCGGTTAATTTTTCCACAGATGTCTCAAAGACGTGATAAGGCACTATATCAAATGCAAGGATTATTATTAGAACAGGAAGGAGAAGAAGAATAAATCACCCGGATTAGATTCACAGTAACTAGTTCAAATTACTCTGCTACATTTTCAGTTTGAGAATGTTATGGTATCAGGAGAGAAAGTACATCAGTAGCTAAGCATTTTAAGCACAGCCATTGTCAGTTCCGGAAGCTGGTTAGTTTTCCACCAATTAGTGTGGGCCCTAGAAAACAAAGCAGCTCTAAGGGGGAGGGTCTCCTGTGCAAAGCCTTTCTGATTTTAAAGCCATAAGGTGGGGGGGAAACAGAAGCCTTATTGAACTGCAAATACACATTTTTCTTCTGTGGACTAACACTACATTGAAGAAAAAAACGATTCTAAATATTTTAGCAATGACCACCTGCTTCCCAAAACTGTGCATGCGCACAGTTCAAAAAGTTCTCACAAACCCATGAAAATTAAATACAATTTTTGATAAATTAAACTATTTTTAACCTTTGTGTTTGTTGTATACAGTGTGCCAAGTTGTTTTTGCAACATGAATCAACTATGCGACTCCTTGGGTGCACTGACCACCTAAAGTGGATGCATTTCTTACACTGTAGTACTTTAAAAATAGCATCAGCATAGAAACTCCTGGGAATTCAACCCAAACACAACCCAAGCACAGCACACAAGCTTGCAATGAATAAATAGCAGGTGAAAAGCTGATTTTTTTTTAAAAGGTTTTTAAAGCTTATGAGTTAACAACAAGATTCCATTTATAGAGCGCCTTTCACGTCGGGAGGACGTCCCAAGGCGCTGTACAGTTGGGTCAGGACCCGAGCAGGGGGTAATGGTCAGGGTGAGGGGAGAGAAGGGAGTGAGGAGGGGGGAGAGAGTCGAGAAGGGAGCTGAAGGCACGGTCAAAGAGAAAGGTCTTGAGACCGGCCTTGAAGGAGGAAAGGAAGGAGGCGGCGAAGGCACTGGGGGATAGAGTTCCAGAGCCTCGGGGCTGAGAGGCTGAAGGTCCGGCCACCGATGGTAGGGCGGTTGGGGCGGGGGCTGTGGAGCAAACCGGAGCCGGAGGAACGGAGGGTACGGGCAGGTAGGTAGGGGGATAGTAGGTCAGAGAGGTAGGCGGGAGCAATAATAATAATAATAATTCTTGCATTTGATATAGCGCTTTTTATGTCGGGAGGCCGTCCCAAAGCGCTTCACAGAATATACTGTAAAGTGAATTGACTGTATATTTGTGGGCGAACGCGGCAGCCAATTGCGCACAGCAATGTCCCACAAACAGTCGTAGATTGAAAATGACCAATTTATTATTGTTTTTGGTTTTGGAGGGATTATTATTAGGCTCTGTGTGGAGTAAGGAAACTTGCCCAAGGTTTCGCCCTCTGCCTGGAATTGAACTCAGGTCTCTCACTTGCAAAGCGAGTGCTCTAACCACTGAGCTACAGGACTCCACAAGGCCATGAATGGCCTTGTAGGTGAGGATGAGGATCTTGAATTCGATCCTCTGGGGGATGGGGAGCCAGTGGAGGCGAGCGAGGGTGGGAGTGATGTGGTCCCGAAGCCTGGTGCGGGACAGTACACGAGCTGCAGAGTTCTGAATGACCTGCAGTTTGGAGGGAGGAGCCGGGAAGGCCGACGAGGAGAGAGTTCCCATAGTCCAGCCTTGAGGTGATAAAGGCGTGGACCAGAGTTTCAGCCGCGTGAGGGGTGAGGTAGTGCCATAGTCTGGCGACATTCCAGAGGTAGTGGAAGGCGGTGCCAGTTGTGACGCGGATGTGGGTAAGAAAGAACAGCTCAGGGTCGAACAGAACACCGAGGTTCCTGACGGCTTTGAGAGGTGGAGAGTGCAGCCTTGGATGCTGATGCTGTCAGCGCCTGAGGTGCGGAGGCGCTGACGTGAGCCAATCAGGAGGGCCTCAGTTTTGCGCACGTTGAGCTGGAGAAAGTTGTCTCTCGTCCAGGACTCGATGTCGGACAGGCAGCTGTCAGGACATCGGTGGTCGGGGAGTTGAGGGTAGAGGAGGAAAGGTAGAGTTGGGTGTCATCCGCATACATGTGGGAGTGAACCCCATGTCTGCAGATGATGTCACCGAGGGGGAGCATATAGAGGGTGAAGAGGAGGGGACCGAGGACAGAGCCCTGAGGGACACCGCACGTGACAGTGCGGGGGCTGGAGGAAAAGCCGTTCGTGGAAACAAAGTGAAGACGGTGGGAGAGGTACGACCTCAACCACTCAAGGACAGGGCCTTGAAGGTTGAGGTGGGAGGACAAGCGGTGGAGGAGGATAGCGTGGTCGACCGTATTGAATGCTGCCGATAGGTCGAGGAGGACGAGGAGGCAGAGGGAGCCCTGGTCACAGATGGTCAGGATGTCATTGGTGACCTTGACCAGGGCAGTTTCTGTGCTATGGGTTAAGCATTCACCTGACAAGGATAATTCAAAGTTTACAATGAACATACAAAACACAGGTTACATATGCTCTAGGTTATCGTGAATTTAGAAGAGTCCAAAACTAGGCTGGAAATTTGGGAATTGGCTAAATAAAACACCTTTAGTTTAGACACCGCCTGCAATGTACTTTTTGCTCATCATTTGGAATGAGTAAATGAAAGCAATTGGGAGTTTACAAAACAAATTTATTTCACAATTTTAAGACAATTAGGCAAAATACCTCCACATTTAGTTTGACTGCCAATAATTGTTAAAATTATTAAATTTACAAATTACAATTTGAATCGGATCCACACCTGAGCAAGCAAAAAAAATGCAAGTCATTCCAGGTATTTCAGTTGGTTAAGCAGAATTATAACCAGAATTTGGGACCTTTTGCCATCTAAAGTGTCTCCCTTGGAGGGGTCTCTTTACCCTGAAAAGTCCTCCGTTATCTAGTCACTCCTCAAACACCAGGGATCATCTTTCCTCTGCATTGCCTCTGGAGGCACCCTGACCCAGCAGACCACTTTATAGCTAGAGTACAACGCTTGGGAATTTGAACTGGATTGATTTGGCAAAACCAGATCCTTTTTGCCGAGCTTATCCTGCCTCACACTGTTTAGATGCGATGAACAAGTTAACTAAAATCTAACTCTTCTTCAACTTCTCCTTTGATACTTATTCATGGACATTTTTTTCTTGTAGCTTGACACATGCAGAAAAAACATCACCATGCTTAAGAGCATCAAAAACAGAACTCTGCACATGTAAGCCATCTAAACATGGAAACTGCCCCATGTATCCCTGGAGAGATCTATCCTTCTTACCTAATCCTAAAGAACAGGAGGCACAGGTGTTAAGAGCCAAGGGTTAGGGACTCCAAAATCTGCACTGAGGTGCTGCTATAGATTAACTAACTAAAAAAAAATCACATTGTGCCATTGAATCCATGAAGTACATTTGCTTTTTCTGTCCTATATACAGTACCTGCATTTATAAATACAAGACACTGGATATAGGTTTTTTTTATTCATTGAACTTCATTTGTAGGTAATCAGACCAGATACATACCTTGTTCAATGGTCAGTCCAGGCAAATATACCATTGAGTTCACTTTATTGGATGAAAAACTGGCTGCCTCATTGGACACCACAGTTGGCTCTAGCTAAACTACCTCAGACTGAATCTGCAAATCTACGTACAATATTATATACAAGGAAAAGGTGGTAACCCAGCACAGACAATCAATCGCTCAATTTAAATGGCAATCATTTTTTTCACCATTACTGAGCCGGTTATCAAGTGGGTGCAAATTTAAGATGATCACAAAGTCTGTCCAAACTACTTTTGTATTATACGTGCATTAATAATAAATTGACTAAATGCATAATAGTACAATCAATCTAAAGCCAACAAACAATTTAAACATTTCCTATTTCTAGGCAAGTTTTTCTGTCACGTTTATTTAAACTAGTCTGTAATTTCAATTGACAAACTTGAGTCCACTTTGAATTTTTGTACATTGCCGCAAAATCTGACAGACCCCAAGATTCACATCAGCTAACTGGTGAAAATGAACTTTTTGTTCGAAAAGGCCATTTACTAGATGTTTAAAGGTTTTTGCTGTGCATCAGTGCATCAGCTGACAAGATAGTTGGCTCTTAAATATAATTTATGAAGATCACTGGCATTAGAATGCCAGTTAAATAAACACTGTGCATTCACAGAATGTGCAGATCTCTATTTGGCCCAAATTTTATGACACCAGCAGCATGATTCAGTGCTGCTTGCTTCCTCTAATCTAAATCAGATGCTGTTATCAAAACAGCACCTGCAATTGAACTGAGGCATTTAACAATAATAGATTTGCATAAATTTAGTCAGCAAAGGTGGACATCCTTGAACCTTTATTAAAACTGCTGTACCAAATCAGTCCACTGACATCACAACCATCACTTATTCTTACTACAATATGATGTTACATCTAATCTGTTGCTTTCAGGGATTAAATGAGTCAGTGTCAAAACTGACTTGATCAGGTTTTTTTTAAATTAGACTAAAAATGAAAATGCATCATTTATATTGCTACCTCCAAACTGGTTGAAGAGATTCAGACTTAATTTATTCATTTGATCAAATAAATCATTTCAAAGCAGAAAAAAAAACGTAACCTCAAAAACATGAATCCAAAAATTTCTTTCCACCACCTGCACTTAACTGTGGACTCTTAGTAGCTAATCCTTAATTAACTAAACACTTGTCTTGCTTTCACAGTGATAAAAGAGATGTACGAACCTGTTCAGAAATGCATTACCAAAGGCATTAAGCTTCCTGAAAGGCTTTTTTGGATCCACCACGAGAGCATTGCCTGGAATCACACCCTCCGTATCTCCATGCATTACAGCAATAAAGCAATCAGTTGTTGGTTCAGGTCCAATTCTCATTCCTGGAAATTCTTGCTCCAAAAGGTACCTGAATCAAAATCAAGTTAAATCAGCAGAAAATAAAAGTAGGTGTTAGAGCAGCAGCAATACCTCCAACAAAATTAGGATAATCAGTTTGATTTTCTGCTATACAAAACTGAATGCAATATGTAGAATTTTCAGTATAGTTTACATTTTATTGGCTGGGCGGGGAGGGGGAAGAGAAATCCTACTGAGTTGAGAATCACCTACCTTTTCCAGCCAGAAAAACAAGATGACTGGGCAGAATTAGTGATGCCTTTAAGCATCTTAAAAGAAAATAATCTGCATTGTGAAATACGAAGCAAAACAAATGTTGTGGCATGTTGTGACCTCAAGCATTACAATTGCCAACTACAGTAGCTCCTGTATACGTGAATATGACCATCAGGGCAAGACAGTTTTAAAAATTAGTACAGAAAATTGGTGGAAGCATTACAAATAACTCATCTCCAAGCTGTAGAGGGGAAAGGTGATCAGTCATGGTTATCATTTGACCCCTGCTAAAAACAAAAAGGTGAAAATTAAATGGAACTGAAAAGGATTTTTTTAAAAAAAACACAAGGGTGCCAAATGGCCTTCTTCTGCGCTGAAATTTCTATGGTTCAATGAGCTTGAACTCGCCTGTGATTTGCCTTTCAGTCAAATACCCCAACACTTGCATACTATTATAGACAACTATAAACCTCAAATTGGGACTGGAGGGCTGCTAGAACCAGTGTTACCCAGTACCTTTAGGAATCAATGGAAGAGATATGGGAGGGCGATTCTATCATATGGAGTCAACTTGGATTCAACTGATAAAATGGTAATCGTAAGGTTTTGGAAGGTTTTGGAAGGCAATTTTTTTCACTCACAATTGTTAGGATGTGGAATACCCTGCCAAGTAATGTGATAGAAGCAAATTCATTGTGGGCTTCAAGAGGGAAGTGCTAGTTATCATAGAATCGTACAGCACAAAAAGAGGACATTCGGGTCATCGAGTTTGTGCCGGCTCTTTGAATAGAGCTATTAATGTCAATCCCACTCCCCAGCCCTTTCCCCATAACCTGCAAACCCGTCCTCCTCAAATACCCGTCCACCGCGTTTTTAAAAGTAGTTATCGAATCGGCCTCGACCACCCTTTCAGGCAATGCGTTCGAGATTCAAACAACTCGCTGCGTGAAAAAATTTCTTCTCACCTCCTCTCTGCTTCTTTTAGAGACTATTTTAAATCTGTGACCTCGAGTCACCGACACACCCACCAGTGGAAACAGTTTTTCCCTTTCTAACCTATTAAATCCCCTCATGATTTTGAAGACCTCTATTAGGTCTCCTCGTTTTAAATAGGTTAATCATAACCTCCTGACTCTTGTACTCTATGCCCCTGTTTATAAAGCCTAATATCCCATATGCCCTTTTTACAGCTTTTATCTACCTGTCCTGCCACGTTCAAGCATTCATTTACCTGCACCCCCAGGTCTCTCTGTTCTTTTGCCCCCCATAAGATTGTATTACCGGCCTATATTGCCTCCCCTCATTCTTTCTACCAAAATGCATTAACTCGCATTTCTCCACATTGAAACTCATCTGCCATGTGTCGCCCATTTTACCATTCTCTCTATGTCTTCCTGCAGTTGGCTGCTATCCTTCTCACTGTTTACTACCCTACCTAACTTTGTGTCGTCCGCAAACTTGGAAATGGTACTTGCTATACCCAAGTCCAGATCATTTATGTATATTAAGAAGAGCAGTGGTCCTAATACCGATCCCTGGGGGGCACCACTGTACATTTCCCTGCAGTCAGAAAAGCAGCAGTTCACCACAACTCTCTGCTTTCTGTCTCCCAGCCAGTTCTGGATCCATACTGCCACTGTCCCTTTTATACCATGGGCTTCTATCTTTCTTAGAACTTTTTCATGTGGCACTTTGTCAAATGCCTTTTGAAAGTCTATATAAACTACATCAACTGCATTACCTTTATCCACCCTCTCCGTTACCTCATCGAAAAATTCTATTAGATTTGTTGGACAAGATTTGCCTTTAACAAATCCATGTTGGCTGTCCCTAATTAACCCATATTCTTCAAAGTGAAGATTTATTCTGTCCCGGATTATAGTCTCCAGGAGTTTCCCCACTACTGATGTTAGGCTGACTGGCCTGTAGTTCCCAGGTTTGTCCTTCTGTGCCTTTTTGTACAGGGGAGTCACATTGGCCACTCTCCAGTCCTCTGGCACCACCCCTGTGTCAAATGAAAATTGAAAAATTGTAGCCAAAGCCTCCGCTATTTGTACCCGTGCCTCCCATAGTAATCTTGGTTGCATCCCGTCCAGACCAGCCGACTTATCTACCTTCAGCCCAGTCAAACTTTTCAGTACTTCCTCTCTGTGGAGTCCTGTAGCTCAGTGGTTAGAGCACTCGCTTTGCAAGCGAGAGACCTGAGTTCAATTCCAGGCAGAGGGCGAAACCTTGGGCAAGTTTCCTTATTCCACACAGAGCCTAATAACAATCCCTCCAAAACCAAAAACAATAATAAATTGGTCATTTTCAATCTACGACTGTTTGTGGGACATTGCTGGGCACAATTGGCTGCTGCGTTCGCCCACAAATATACAGTCAATTCACTTTACAGTGTGTTCTGTGAAGCGCTTTGGGACGTCCTCCCGACGTGAAAAGCACTATATCAAATGCAAGGATTATTATTATTATACTTATCCTATCCTCTACCCTCTCCTCCGATACTGCAGCATTTGGTGCATCCACTTCTTTTGTGAAGACAGATGCAAAGTACTCATTCAGCACATCAGCCTCCACAATAAAATTTACCCCTTGGTCCTTAATTGGCCCCACCCTACCTTTGACTAACCTTTTTTTCTTGATATGCTTGTAAAATTTTAGAATTCTCTTTAATGTTACCTGTTAACCTTTTTTCATATAATCTTTTTGCCCCTCATATTTCCTTTTTCAAACCTCTTCTGCACTTCCTATATTCTATTTGGTTGTCTTCTGTATCATACAGATTTCTGCTTCATTCTAGGTCGTCCTTCGTCATCCGGGGAGGTTTTCTCCCCGAGCTATCTCATCCTTGAAGCGTTATATGAAGGGCAGAAGCCTGAAGGGGTATGGGGACAAGACAGGGCAGTGGGAATGAATGAACATCTTGCTCTGAGAACGGTGCAGACATACTGGGCTAAATCACCTCCTTATATGCTGTACATTTTTAATGGTTCTAATGTAGCAGGGAGAATCAGACAAGTCAACCATGGAGGGCCGCAATCATGTCCTCTCTCAAAAACTCAGAGGTTGTTAGATAACATTCTGAAACATGAGCTCCTAGCTGAACTTCCCCCCCCCCCCTTTTTATCTGCACAGCCACTGGTAAACTCACCAATAACACTTAAAGAGCATTCTTTACCACCAGTTACCTCAGCACGAGTGATCTTAACCTGATCTATACAAGTTTACACTGTATAGTTACATACACCAGAATATCAAGTAACAATTTTGTTGGATGCCACATACTTGTATTAGCACCAGACATGCAGGAAGTCCAACAATACTTGTATATATTTTTCCCCATGCATATTTTACAAAGGCAACTCTCGCTGCGAGGGCTTGGACTTGGCTGCACATTTCAGAGCAAATACCTAAAATGGACACGATGATAGTTCCTCGGGGGCAGCTTATGTCATCCTTGGCAGTGCAGGAGTAACGACAACAAATTACATTTGTATAGCGCCTTTCACTGTACAGTCAGGGATTCGGAATCAAGAGGGGTTAGAGGACATCTCCTTTGAAATACTGCAAATAAATGAAGAAATACCTGATGAAAGTGGTCTTGCCGGTGGAGTACTGGCCGACCAGCAGCAACATTGGCTTGTTATCGAAATCCGCGTCCTCCAAGGCCGGCGAGTGAAACTCGTGAAACCTGTAATATTCTTCCAGGGGGAGCAGTTTGGTTTTGTAGAGTTTCTTCAGTCCCTCGGACACGGTCTGAAACACCTCGGGATCCTTCTTGCCCCGATCATCTTTCCCCAGCCAGCTGAACATCTCGGCGGGTAGAACCTCACAGCTGATTGCACTTCACTAAAGATTTTTTTGCGGGGGAAGGGGGGGAGGGTGAAAAAAACCAAAGCGAAATTAACCGGCAGCAATAACCGTAGTCTTTTCCAATATTTGCTACGCTCCCGCCCCAAAATACAGTATATGGCGCATGCGACACATACAGGGTTGGTTTCTCCTCCTTCGCCACAGCCTTCCCTCCCCTCACCCCCTCCTCTCTTCAAACCTGCTGTAATTGTCGAGCTGCTCCTCAGGTGAAGGAAGGAATAAACAAGACGACAGTAGTGTAGTAGTTATGGCTATATCATACCAACCCCCCCACCCCTGCCGGCTAACTAATGAAGTGGTCTCAGCTACTCAAAGCACCGCCTCAGCCGCTTCTAATATCGCCGCCTCCTCCCCCTTAGCGGGAACACCGCACGTACAAGCACGCATGCGCACTCCACTTCCGTCCAAAGCTGCCAACCAACCGTCGTTCAACTGCCGACCCGCGCGCACCCACCCACTAGCCTTCCCGCCCGCCCGCCCGCCCGCCCTGACCAGATGGGGCGGATTCACGCCCAATTGGGCGGGCTTCTACAGACGAGACAATCTTTCATGATTTTTTTCAAACCAGAATGATAAAAATAATTTGAAAGTAGGAATCTAATGAGAAATAATCAGATAATGTCTTTAATTATTAAATAATAGTCTGTAAAATTTGCCTAAAATTTTGTAAAAACTGCATAAACGGTGATTATTATTATTGGAGATTATTATTAATATTATTACTATTATTACAACAACAACAAAATTACATTTATAGAGCGCCTTTCATGTCGGGAGGACATCCCAAAGCGCTGAACAGTCAGGTGTCGGGGCCCGAGCATGGGGGAGGGGTGGTGTAGGGGTGAGGGAAGGCAGAAAGGTGGGAGGACAACCAAAGGCACGGTTGAAGAGAAGGGTCTTGAGACCAGCTTTGAAGGAGGCGAGGGAGGAGCGAGGAGAAGGGACCGTGGGATGGAGTTCCAGAGTGTGGGGGCAGAGAGGCTGAAAGCCCGGCCACTGATGGTAGGGCGGGTTGGGCGGGAGACATGGAGTAGGCCGGAGTCTGATGAACGGAGGGAGCGGGCAGGTTGGTAGGGAGTCAGCAGGTCAGAGAGGTAGGAGGGGGCAAGGCCATGGATGGCCTTGGAAGTGAGGACGAGGATCTTGAACTCAATCCTCTGGGGAATGGGGAGCCAGTGGAGTCGGGTGAGAGTGGGAGTGGTGGCAGCCTGGGGTGTGAAAGTACACAAGCTGCAGAGTTTGGGATGATCTGCATCTTGTAATTATTATTACTAATATTATTGTTACTAATTATTATTATTGTTATTATTATTACTATTATTATTTTTAATATGGAAGGGCAATTTACTGCTGGAAAATTTTGAAATTACTGCTGGGGAATTCCTTGGGACCTCGAAGGGATTTTCCTGACCACTTTATATGTTAAAGAATGCCCTGTCCTAACACCACCAAAGAAAGAAGAGGACCATATTTGCATTTTTACATAGTCATCATCATGATAATCATCCTTGCTTTCGGCATAGCGCCTTTCATGTCGGGAGGACGTCTCAAAGGTTTACACATGATTTACTGTGAAGTTTAGTGACTGTGTGTTTTGTGGGCGATGGGAGCGGAGGCAGCCAGGTTTTGTGCATGGCAACGTCCCACAAACAGCCAGGAAGTGAGTGACCAATTTTATCTGGGGTATTTTGGCCAAGACACCAGTAGAAATGCCCTTCACTTTTCAAGTAATGCCACAGGATCTTTAATCCACCTGAATAGGCTCACCAGTTTAGCTTGGTATAGGATCTCATCCAAAGGATGGCCCCTCAGACAATAATTGGCCAGGACACAATGAGAAAAATCCTTCTCGTTCCGAATAGGCCCAAGCGCAATGGGATTTCCTCCCAATATTAGCAGCATTATATAAATGCAATTTGTTGTTTTGAATAGCATCTTAAGATTTTTAATCCTAAACAGACAGACAGACTTCAGTATAACATCTCATCTGAAGAATGATAGCACCAAGAATGCAGGGTTTTCCCTCTTCACTGCATTAGATTTCATCCTAAACTCAGCACAGAGTCACAGTATGGGGTTTGAAACCTAACTGGCTCTCGTGTTTGCCCACAAAATACACAGTCACTCTAATTTACAATGTTCTTCTGAAGCACTTTGAGAATTCTCAACAACTTGATAAGATGCTATATCAAATGCAACAATTAGTATATATTTTTGTTGCTCATTTAGTAACTTTCACCCGTGAGTCGAAAGGTCATTGATAAAAAAGCACTTTTGGCATCCTCCCAATGTCAAAGGTGCTATACAAAAGTAATCTGATATTGTTGTTGGGTTCAAGTGTTGCAAGGGGACTCTAAGCTCATTCTTAGAAGTAGAGTTTGATTGAGATATTAAACTAAGGTCCCTTCTGTCTATTCAGATTGATTTTAAAGAAGCCATGGCACTATTTTAGTTACATTTCAGTCGACTTCTGGCTATTTGTGAGACTTGCTCTGCTGTAGTCACAAATACATAGTAGTTATTGTGAAGAGTATTGAGACATCTCAATAGGCATCTAATAAAAAATAAAAATGATGCTTGCATTTGATAAAGTGCATTTCACCTCTTCTAGATGTCTCAAAGCTCTTCACAGAATATACTGTAAAGTGAATTGACTATATTTTTGTGGATGAAACGCGGCAGCCAATTGTGCACAGCAGTGTCCCAAAAGCAGTCGTGGATTGAGTGACCAAATTATTATTGTTTTTTTCTTGAAGTATTATTATTATCAGGCATGTGGAGTAAGGAAACTTGCCCAAGTTTCGCCCTACCAGGAATCGCTCTAACCACTGAGCTACAGGAACTGCCATATTAAGACTAAGGGTGACATCTGCTGGCTTAATAAAAAATATTACTGACTTCAACAGAGTGCCGATAGAATTGTAGTGCTATTCAAATCACAGATGTTAGTACATAAGCGCTTACTTGTAAGATTACCATAAAGGTACAAGTGAAGAAGGTCCTTTAGCCCATTTGAATACCCTTCCAGACCCACTCTACCATCTTCCCATTACAGTTTTTTTTGGGTTAGCCAGATGTCTGAAACATGCGGAAACCCATTACCAAACTTAAAGTATAAGTTAAACAAAACACAAAAATTCTTCATTCAAAATTGCCAGGATAACATCGGCCGTGTCTGTTTCGCCACTCGACTCTCCCATTCAAATCTTTCTCCTTCTGAACGTGCTGCACTCCACTCTCTCAGGACCAATCCTGACATTATCAAACCCGCTGACAAGGGAGGTGCTGTCATCATCTGGCGGAAGGACGTCTACCTGGCAGAGGCTGAACACAAACTCTCTGATGACTCCTCCTACCTCCCCCTGGACCATGACCCCACAACTGAACACCAAGCCACCATCACTGAGACAGTCAATGAACTCATCTCCTCTGGGGAGCTTTCTCCCACAGCCTCCAATCTCATAGCCTCCCAGCCACGCACAAGCCCGCCTCTACCTCTTCTCCAAGATCAACAAACAGAACTGTCCCAGGAGACCTATTGCTTCAGCCTGTTCCTGCTCCACTGAACTGATCTCCTCATATCTGGACACCATTTTTGCTCCTCTTGTCCATGCCCTACCAACCTACATCCATGACTATTCTGACTCCCTCCGCCATTTCAACAATTTCCATTTTCCAGACTCTGACCATTTTCTATTCACAATGGACATTCAGTCCCTCTACATCTCCATCCCCCACAAGGACGGCCTGCAGGCCCTCCGCTTCCACCTCGAACAGCGGCCTAACCAGTCTCCATCCAACACCACCCTCCTTCACCTGGCTGAACTTGTTCTGACATTGAACAACTTCACCTTCGACTCCAACCGCTTCCTCCAAGTAAAAGGGGTCACTATAGGAACCCGCACGTGTCCCAGCTATGCCTACCTGTTTGTTGGCTACCTGGAACACTCTTTGTTCGGGGCCTACTCAGGTCTGCTCCCTGACCTGTTCCTCAGGTACATCGACCATTGTGTTGAGGCTGCTTCCTGCACTCACAGTGAGCTGGAAAAATTCATCAAATTCGCTTCCACCTTCCACCCCTTCATAACATTCACATGGTCCATCTCTGACTCTTCCCTTCTTCGACTTCATCATTTCCATCTCGGGGCATAGATTATCAACAGATATTTTTTATAAGTCCACCAACTCCCACAGCTACCTGGACTATACCGCTTCCCACCCCACCTCCTGTAAAGACTCCATTCCCTTTTCCTAGTTCCTCTGCCTCCACTGCATCTGCTCTGACGATGCACCTTTCACACCAGAGCAGCTGAAATGTCTTCCTTTTTCCTCAACCGAGGATTCCCATCCACTGTGGTAGGCAGGGCCCTTGACCGTGTCCGTTCTATGTCCCGCAACTCTGTACTGACCCCTTCCCCCTCATCCCAGAACCGTCCTCACTTTCCACCCCACCAGCCTCAACATCCAAAAAATAATTCTCCACCATTTCCGGCACCTCCAGCGTGATCCAACCACTCTTTCCCTCCCCTCTCAGCATTCCGAAGGGACCGTTCCCTCCATGACATCCTGGTTCATTCCTCCATCACCACTAAAGGGTCTTCTCCTCCCTCCAGCACCTTCCCATGCCAGCACAGGAGATACAATATCTGTCCTTTCACTTCCTCCCACACCACTGACCAGGGTCCCAAACACAGATTTCAAGTGAGACAGCGATTTACATGTATTACCACCAATGTAGTTTACTGCATTCGCTGCTCACGATGTGGTCTCCTCTACATTTTGACAGATTTGCCGAACACCTCTATTCTGTCCACAAGCACAACCCTGAGCTTCCAGTTTTTTGCCACTTCAACTCTCCCTCCACTCGCACTCTGACCTCTCCATCCACTGTCTCCTACATTGTTCCAATGAACCACAGCGCTAGCTCGAGGAACAAAGCCCATCCCAAAATATAGAGGAAGAGTGTTCCAGAGTTTTGGGGCATAGTGGCTGAAAGCGCGACCACCAATAGTGGAACATAGCAGGACATGTAGGAGGCCGGATGAAACTAGTCGAGTGGAGCCAACGGGTTGTGGGTTGGGGGGTAAGCAGGTTGGAGAGGTAGGGAGGTGCCAAGACACGAAGGACAAATCACCTTTGTTGGTTGCAACCTTTCCCTCAGGATGTGCCATGGCAGTGGCAGACACACAGACCAGTCTACTGATGTGCTGAAACAGGACACTCCCTGACAAATCTATGTTGAACACATCCCTGAGGACACATGGGCAGAGACACAACCTGGTAAAGTAAAGAGGATAATTAGATATTACTGTCAAACATGGGAGATGCCATGATAACAATAATAATCATTCCATTTGACACAGCCTCACATGTTTGTCAGCAT